CTCAGCTTGTGGCAGAGTACACTACAAGGTCAAATTCTAGTTTTGACCATTGAACATCAAACCTTAATCACTGCAGCTGAGACAAGTTTTGTCACAACAATGATGAAGATTTGCTGAGATGACTTAATATTTTCGCACTTGGTATTGATGATAATGGCATCAAGATGACTCATTGTGTACTTCATATACATCTTTGTTTGAAATAATATCTATCTTGTGTCGTTGTGATATCTGCTGTTTTTTTTATAATGTTTCTGTTTACTTGCTCTAGTTTGCATACTTTATAAGGGTTGCCAAGTAGGAAAGTAGCTAGAAAGATGAACATAGTGGTCGGACCCTTTTCAATGTTCATCCGACCAAGTCTTGTACGGTCACATATTGGCTTAAGTTAAAACGTGTATCCTTTTGGTGTATTGTAACTGTAGATTCATAGTTGAAACACACACATACGGTTGTACACCATTCCTAAAATATCAAAATCCAACACTTCATGGTGCTCTGCACACTCTCTGCCTCCCTAAATGTTATTACTTGCTTTCTCATTTTCTTTACATGCTTCTTCTCATTTCAGGAACACAGCTCTGCTCTGATGAGGAGGCCGTTGCTGCTTTGCTACAATTCAGGACTTCCTTTTCCATCAATAACACTGCTTCTGATTCTGAACTCTGTGCGTTTCTAAAATGATACTATTCTCCATTTTGAGACTTGATTATGGAAGGAAGATAACAACAATTATATATAGAGGTGCCGAACTGTTTCAGTCATGCAATATGAACATTTTGGAAAAAAAATGTCTAGAATTCCAAACTCAAGCCACTGAAATGATATCCCAATCTGCTGCATCGTTAAATACTTCTAACAAGAGTTGGATTGCTCCATCTTTGAGAAGGGATCATCACATCACGTTACCACTGACCTTTCAAAGCTAGCACTTTAGTCTGACTACACTAGCTTTTCATTGGTGATTGTTCTAGTTAGAAAATTATACATGTGTGTGACAAACTAAGGTCTATAGATTATCAACAAAATCTTCTCTATCATTTTATCCTTAGATTTTTCTTGTGAAGAATATACCCTGAACCTCATTTGTTTGTTTCTTGCAAAATTTTAGTGATATTGAAAATTAATATAAGGCATTGATACAGTTATCAGCTCTTGGTCACAAGGACTAGGAACGTTCTGTTATTGAATCTGTTATTGGAGGCAAGTCTTTTAATTATATGGATAACTTTAGATATTGCATTCTATTATTCCTCAGCAAGGGGATGGTGGGATGCTAAGAAAACTTGTTGATGAATTCCAAAACAAATTAGTGTTATACATGTGCTGCCAATTTTCTGCTAATCAATTATCTAGATGTTGCTTTATTTCCAGTTTCTGGTCTCTTTTAGTTTGGCATGTACTTTGTCTGTTTTTTCCATGTGACCAAAGAATTTCACATCACTTCACATGCCATGTGGATATTTCTTTACTCTATAGGTCTTAAATCAATTAGCATTACAAGGTTGAGCTCTACCTGATTCTTAAATGATACCTTATATATATAATGATTCTCAAGTGATACTTATTAGATGCATTTGCTGCTAATTGTATTAACAGGAGGAGATCCAGAAGAAAACTTGCTATATTGTAATGAGAGCAGAGGGAGTATATGATGTTGAAGCCAATACATCTATTTATTTTTCCTTTTTTGATATTGTGGATATCCAAACCATTGGGCACTATTCATTCTTGATATGGTATCATCTATATGTATCTGTGCAGACTGAAAGGTATAGCACCTTTGTTAAATAAAGAGGGAAAAAAAAAAAAAAAACTTGAGTCAGGAAAGATCTTGTCTGCACTTGCAACATTCAGGATTCTTCAAGAGCCAATCTACAATCTTCCGGAGACAATTTCAATGATAGTTCAGACGAAGGTTTCTCTTGGTAGAATTGCATCTTTCCTTCACCTGGATGATTTGAAGCCTGATGTTATAGAGAGGCTTCCAAGAGGTAGTTCTGATACAGCAATTGAGATCATTGATGGGAATTTCTCCTGGGATT